TTCCTGCTGTCTGAAGATTTTGGTGTGTACTAGACCTCTTTGTGCTCCTAGAAGTTTGGGAGCTCATGTCTGACTTGTTTTCACTAGGCTCAGCAGGGCTCATAACTGGACATACCCTTGCTGCAAAAGCACGTGGGAGGGCGGTCCCCAGGCTAGGCTTGTGAGAGGGGTGTTGGACATCAACCTTCTCCAGGCTGGTGAGCAGATCAGTGCAAGGGATGGAGACCAGCTTGGGCTGAGCAAGGTGCAGGGTATGTGACAGTGGTGACAGCCCTGTGCTGGGCTCCTAGGGGAGAGTGAAACCCTGAAGAGATCTCCACAGGGATCACTGTGGGCCTGGGGATAACCCCAGACAACTTTGTGTGTCTTTCTGTCCTACCTGTAGGCCAGGTACCAGATCTGGCACTCCACTGGGCTGGACCAGAATCTAGCTGCAGGTCCCCTTGCTAGACACAGCTCTTGAACAGGAATTAAAGGAAACGTATCTTCCCAGAGCTGCATCTTTGGTGTGTCCCAGGGATCTCAAACCAGGGGTGGGAAAGGAAGGAGGGATGCTTTGGAAGGAGAAGAGAAGTATTCAGAGTTGGCATACCCGTGCTTTGGCCTGTCTCTGGGCCTCCGCTTCCACAGCCAGGGACTGCCGGACTTCAGCAGGCAGCTGCACGTTGTTGCTGTGGCAGTAAAGGACAGGGATTAGCTGGGCTCTCCTGGCAGCACTGGATGGTCTATCTGAGGCTTGGAATGGGCTCATCCGTCAGTCTCTGCAGAGCAGTTCACTCATGTTCTTTGCTCCCTGGGTGTCCCTCTTTGCGTGTCTCGCTTTAGCCTTCTACCTCCGTTCCCATCCTTCTTCTACAGCCTGGTTTTTTAATGACTAGGCTTGCAGGATCACCAGGCAGCAGACACCCCTCCTCTCTCTGTGCCTCTGAGGCTTGAAGTCTAGGCTCACTCTTCATGAGACAGCAGAGAATCCACAGGGAGACTGTTCTCAAGACAGGCATGAGAATTTCCTTCTGTTCATGGATTTACTGATTCACCACTTGGCTCTTTCTTCTACAGCCCTCTACATGAGGGCAAATCCCACCTTTCTTCATGGGCTTCTGAGTAATGAGCCCATCCCTACCAGTGTTAAGACCTAGAGTGGGATCTAGATCCTGATCTAGAGTGGGACACAGAGGGTTCGGTGCCTGCTGCTCCGCTTGGGCTACCAGAATTGGGTGCAAACTCTGCCTGCAGCAGCTGTGAAATGGTGATGAGATCCCAGCTAAGGATCCTGCCCTGGCTGTCAGTGCAGGAGCCAGCACAGTGGAAGTTTTACATGAGGCAGAGGCTGAAAGGGGCAGGGAAAAAAGAGGAAGGCAAGAGGTGAGGCTCTACTTTGTGCAGAATAGCTGCAGGGAGAGAGCCAGAGGCAAAGCAGGAGGGGGAGCAGGCAGCAGTGAGCAGGGCAGGACAGGCACTTGCAAAGGGCCAGGGAAGTCCCCTCTGCCAGCATTTCCTACCTACATTTCTGTTCTCTCCACTTTGATCCCCCAGCAGCCTGTGACCGCATCCAAAGCCACCTGTGGAGAGGAATGTTTTTAGAGCATGGGGAGAACACCAGCCCTGGCCTGGCCTAGGCCCCTTACAGGGAGTAAGCACAGGGACATTAATTAATTAATTCAAGGCAGTTAACTGCAGGACTGTAAGGCAAAGTTATTAATTTTTATGTGCTATTGTGTGAGGCCCTTCAGAAACACAATTACTTCCCTCAGTTCTGATTTGTATTTGCTGTGGGGGTTTAGCCTGATTTAACTAGTCCATACTGGTTCAAGTGTGGAACTAACTCAGTTCCCATGTATACTGGGTTTATGTCAACTCACTCAGGCTGCAGAATACATTTCTTGTGAGAATCTCCTCTCTGGGGTAAGTACTGAAGCTTGGGGTATCACAAAGCACTGATGAAGCTGGTCTAAGTGGTTCCTTCATGCTCCTCACACCATACTGTCTGCTACTCACCGTGGCTGCCTGTGAGGCCCCCTAAAGTGATCCCAGCCCAAAAAACATACAGAAGGAAAATCTCCCATTTTTTTCTGTGAAGGAGACATTGTTACTGTATTCTGCAAACTGGTCTGTGGTTTTGAGGGACTGATCACCTGAGCTTCTTTGTGGAGTCTCAGTACACCCCTTGCTCTGCTGTCTTCTCCCTGTGGAAGTACCTTTATCTCCTGGCTGATGCTTTTCCTCTCCAACAGAAGTTCAGAGAAGGCTCGATGTGCCAGGAGGCGCTTTGTGGTGGTCTGCACCAGCAGCTGGATGGCACTGGAGATGCTGCTCAGGGTGGTGAGGAGAAGAGAAGCGTTCTCCAACCGGTAGTAGCACACAGCATCTATCTCCAAGGTAACCATGTCTTTGGTCACCACCTAAGCAGAAGACATTAGGGGAGATGGAGCTGGTTCTGATAACTCTATGGCAGCACAGAAAAGCATGGAATGACGAGAATGATGAAGAGTAGCTGTATGGTTAAGTCTTTGTAGTTTCCACCTCTGCTACTGACTGACCTTGGGCAAACTATAACCTCTGGATCTCCGTTCCCTGAGCAGCATCTTTGTGTCTGTATCCTCAGTACAGCTGCTGAGCTAGGAACTGTGAGTAGGTCATCATCCCGTGCTGTGTTTCCCTGCCCACTGCTGCCTGGTCCATGCCTGTTCTGAGAGCATAGGCTGTATCCTGAGGTGTATGCTCAGTTATTGCATCTCCAGGATTTGCTGTCCACCACGGGGGTGAGCCTGGAGATGCTACCAGACAAGGACAGTCCCGCTGGCAACACAGCAGCACAGACAACATGTCCCAAAAGGAGAAGAGGGGCTGTGGCTAGGGAGGTTGCAGGTTCAAGGATTAGAAGTGAGGGTTCAGACCTTTCTTCCTCCCAGGCCTGTACAGGAGCAGAGTACCATCCTTACATCATTGTATGATCTTGGTCTGAGCTCCTGTCCCTGCTGCATGGACTCCTCAGTATGGTGGGTAAAAAAAATCTGGTCCAGTATCTGTGGCCCAGCCACTCTCTGTTGGTGTATGCTATCACTAAAGCATCTCAAACTGAACGGGATTAAAAGCAGTAGTTTTAAAAAATAAGAACATTCACTATGGTGAATTTTTTGCCTTCCATTTTTTGAGGTGTTAGGGTTACTTTGAGATGTTTTTTCAAACTTTTCAATGTAGGGATGAAGGCTGGAAGTATGAGGTGTAATGTTAAAAGAGATGCAGAAAAATAATATAGAGAGAGTGTCAGCCATACCTGATGGAAGGGGATCTCTAGGGTTTTGAGGCGAAGGTCTATCTTGTGATAGGTGTCCAGACAGGGAAGGAAAAAGAAAAGGCCTGTGGGAGTAAGAGAGAGGCAGTTGCTGGTGATCAGAATACACACATTGCCCCTCCTGCTCTGGAGAACAGGGGAGGGTTTGGCACGCAGAACTACAAAGGAACAGCAATACAGAGGCTCAAATTCTGAGGCTGCTTCTGTGATGGGAAAAGCCATTAGAAGCTATTGGTGCTAAGAAGAAGAGAGCAAAGACATCCCATCTCCTGTCTTGGAAGGTACCAGCATGTGAGCTTTGGTAGAGCATGAAGAAGAGGAGCGACATGACTTCAGGGAGCTCAGTAAACTCCTCACCAGGCCCTCTGGCTCTGCCAGGAAGGAGATGCCCAAGTCGGAAAACGATGGCTCGCTCGTACTCCCGCACTACCTGCAGAGGGAAACAAAAGCTGGGCTGGAGAGGAAGGCATGGGACTGGGGAAAGGGTCCTCACCAGTATGGGAGAAAGTCTGTTCTGGGAAAGCCCTACAAAGGGAATATTTCATCAAGGTAGGGCTAGTGGCATCATCTGTCACTGAGTCCCTTTACCCAAGCAGAGAACCTGGCCCAGAAGTGCTGGCTGGCCTTGTGTGTGAGCAGTGTGGGAGCAGCCATGAGACAGCCCAAGATCTGGTGAGGGCAGCTGATGTTAGGGCTGCCCAGAGTTCCCCAGCATTCTGCTGTCCTCGTAGCCTGGCCAAACTTGAACTTCTTGAGCTACAGTTTTCCATGTTGGTTGGTTGGTTGCCTCCAAGGGAACCGTGTGTGTGTGTGTTCACATGTGTAAGATCTGAGCCATGATACCAACACTTGTTGAGAACAAGATGCATTTGAAATTTCCTGAGAAGTGGGAATCAAAATATGCCTACTTGTAGCCATGCTGTGAATCTGAGACAAGGGGAGGAAGAGGGCAAATCTGCTATTAACTGAGAGACCAATCTCTTAAAATTTTCAATTCAAAACCTATTCACCCTCCTGCTGCTGCAATGCAGCCATCTCTGGGCTGGGTAGGCTGAAGGTTATGTTTGAAAGTGAACAGACCTGCAATTGGTTTTAAAAAAGAGAATCCTAAGGCCCTGCCTGCTGATATTGCAGCAGGAGTAGTTGTTAGGCAGTGGCTGGAGCCCTGTGCAGCAGCAACATGTGCTAAAGTAAGTCAAAATTAATGATGAGTTGAAGAAGTATAAGTAGGGCCGTAGACCAAAAAAGCTTTATGCTCACATCCAACACCTACTGAACCAGTGAGTTACATCCACATCAGACACCAAATGCTAAACCTAGAGAAGGCCCCATGGCTATCCTCACCTTCATGCAGAACCAGACAGAAATGGGGAAGGTCATTACGACGAACAGGAAAGACAAGATGGTCAGAAGCCACTCACAGATGCCCAGACCTGGAGACTTCACACCTAGGGAGAAATCCAACATGACTGTGTTAGGAGAAGACTGCTCCCAAAATACTGATGGCCTGACAAGTGCCTGCACAGATCAGCTTCAGTGTTGTTCTTTGCCTAGACCCAGCGTATATGAAGCATTTGGCTCTCTCGAGCTGTGGTAAAGATCACTTAGTGCCCCAGGTGGCTAGTTGCTGCCAGGATGGGCTGACAGATTTTGCCTCTGCTTTACTGGCAGAAATTGAACAGTGCTTCTCCGTAGTGCCTTGACTGGAGAGCAGCCTTTAGCTTGAAGATCTGTGGCTACCAAGCAATGTCAAAAGGTTCAGAATGGGCAACTCCTTGGCTGAGCTGGGATCCACAAGCTTGTCTGGAAAGACAAGCTAATGCAAAGAGAAAGATTGTAAATAAGAGGTTGCTTTCAACATGCACAGCCTGAAAGTGCCCTTCCCTATCAGAGTATCTCAGATCCTTTTGGAACAGGATTTTAGTGGCATCCCAGCTCCTTAATGCAGTGGGACGAAGCCACTAGTGCTGCTGAAATCTCCCTGAGCTCCACAGCAGTCACACCAAGGTGGTGGAGGCTGACTGGGGTGGTCAGCCCCAGATGAATGTTACCTTCTACATCTCCCTTGAGTGTGGGTCACCTTGATCTGGCTGCCCTTTATTGTGCTCCTGCCTGAAGGAAAATCTGCAGGTATGGCATGAAAATAGATAGATTACTTCTGGGTGTACTTAGACCCAGAGAGTAGACCATGTTTTCTACCAGTGAAGTTAGAATCCCTGTGTCCCTCTCCCTTTGAATCCCTCCTAGCCTTCCATCCCTGCCCCTTTGTCTTTGGAGCTCTCTGCAGAGCCAGCAGGTCCTGAGGGAGGTTCAGAACCCAAGAACCTGCATGATCACTAGAGCTCCACTAGCTGACATTCCTGTAATCAAGGCAGAAAGAGGCAGTCGTGAAAAATTAGTTCCCAGAGAGACAGGAGCATGTCTGAACCTTTGTGTCACTCCAGGGCAGCAAGGGTGCTGGTGTGGAACAGACAAGTGACCCTGGCTCCTGTAATACAAAACACTGATGATGTTCCTTCCTGTTGTGGCAGGCTGGGAGTCTGCCTAGTACCTGACCTGGAGAGAAGCTGCTCTGGAGGGTTATCTGGAAGGGGAGATACAACAGTGCATCTCAAGCACCGTTCTTCCCTGCAGCACAGTTCTTTGGGCTGTGAACTGTCACTGAGGCTAACTCTGTCCCCCTAAAGAAAAGGAAGAGAATAGAGCGTGAAGAGAACAGGGAAGCAGTGAGCTGAAGCATGAAGGATGCTGGGGATGTAACAGCTTGTTGCCAAGTTCATTGCTTTGCTAGATGGTGCTGATCAACCTGTACTGACTGCATAAGCTGGCTGGGAGGCTGGCTCAACTCTCCCACACGCTGTCATGAGGATAACCACGTGTCTGTGCAAGGTATGTGTGATGACGCTCACCAGGCAGAGAGCAGAATCATACTGTGACCACCCAGGGTCAGAGAGCCCATAGTTTTCCTGCCCCTTCCCTTTCATAAGCCATACCTTCCTCTTGCTGCTCGCTGTCCAGCAACGCCATTGCCTCCATTTCTTCATCAGATATCACATCATCCACGTCCACCACTGTGGATGTGTGCACCCTGCCATCAGCCCCCGCGGTGCTCTTGATCTCCTTTGCTTTCTCCTGCTTTATGTCTTCCCCTCCTTTGCCAGCTTCTCTCCTGCTCTCCTTCTTCTCTCGTTTTCTCTGTGTGGCTGGGGGCTCTCTGCGTCTCCTGTGAGACTCCCTGGAAGAGCTCCGAGACCTCTTATCCATCCTCATCTGTGTCGAGGAGCCTGCAGCTGCCTGTGGGAGTTGGGTGAATTTGTGCTTGAATTTATTGCTGCAGGCAGCGGGGGAGAGAAGGGGAGGTGTCGGATCAAGGAGACTTGTTTCAAGTTTATCACAGGCTTGTCAGATATAATGGACAGTGAAGTGAACAAGCTGTTTCCCAGCTGCTCTGCTGTCATCACACATTGTTCTGGAGATGGGGAGGAAGGTTAGACCTGGACAGGATGGACTCCAGGAGGACATTCTGTTTGCATCTTCCTGCCTTTGAAAATAAAATACAATCTAAGGCACTCATGATTTTTTAGTAGATGGTTTCTGCAAAGCTGTTGAAAAGCAACCTAAAAGTAATTATCAGATGTGTCACCCCAAAGACTTCAAATGGTGAGAGGGGCCTAGAGCAATAAACACCAGAGTGAAAAACCCTCACTGCTGAGGTCAGTGGAGAGGGTATTGCAGAGAATGGCTGGGTGAGTAGCAGCTCACACTGGTCTGCTCTTTAGAAACCCTTTGGCTGGCACAGTGGAGGGACCATGGCAGCCAACCCCCTCTCTCTAGGGTTACCTCACATTTTAGCAGGGAAGGAAACTAGCTGGTCCCAGTTCAGCCATGAACTTTCCTGAATGGTGCAAAGCATGGAGGCCATTGCAGGGTTAGAGCTGTTCAACTGAAATTCCTAAAAGAGTTTGCGCCTAAATGCCTCCCCAGTTTTCCACAGCAAGTGCTGTAGCAGAGCAAACATACAAGCTTTTTCTTTTCTTGCCACACAGCCTGTGGTGACACCTGGGGGAACCTCTGAAAGAAACACTTTAAAGGTGTTTTAAAGTCACTGATCATATTAAAGAAACCAGCACCTGGCTAGAAATCATACTACACCAAGACAAAGGAATTACTTCCCTGTTGAGGAGGTAGTGCTGAGCTCAGGGATACTCAGGCTCTGGTATGGAGGAGTGGCTGGAGGGTGCCAGGAAGCTGGCCAGGGAGGTGTTCCTCTTGTTTTTTCATGGATTCTTGCTTTATTGGAGACTTGTGGCCCACCCAGAGTCAGGATATTGCAGGCAGGGAGGGCAGCAGCACCAGCTCTCTGCCTGGTCATGCTGGGTGCCTCGTCAGGAGCTCACTGGGGAAGCAATGGATGGAGGGGGATAAGGGCAGAGGAAAAATGTTGGAAAATGAAGCATAATTAATAAATTCATACAGTGTCTGTATTTGCTTTGGAAGTTGCGGTGCTTTAACTTGGCTAGCAGCAAGACACAGGTCATTCACTCTCCCCCCCACCAGGGAACAGGGGAGAGAATTGGGGAGGGGTAAGGGTAAAGAGACTCATAGGTTGAGATAAGAACAAGTTAATAATTGAAATAAAATGAAACATAAAATAATAATTACAATAATAATAATGATGAAATATACAAATGAGTGATGCGTGGTGTAATTGCTCACCACCTGCCAACCAAGCCTGGCCTGTTCCCAGGTAACGAGTCCAGAGGAGCAACAATCCCGAAACCAAAACTGTAATTCCAGAAAGTGAGAGCCTGAGTGAGAGAGCCCTCATTAATATACTGGACATGATGTTATATGACAGGGAATATCACATTGGCATATCCAAATGCCAATCTGGATTACTAATTTTAATATTCCCCCAGTCCTTTGCACTTGCAGACTAGCAAAACATGGGGAAGTTGGAAAGTCCTTTGACTTCCAGTGACAGTTGAAAACATTGGTATGTTATCATCATTCTTCTCATAACAAATCCTACACTGAAACCAAAACCCAGTGTTGTTTTAGCTACTAAGAAGCAAACTGTCCCTGTCCCAGCTGAAAACCAGGACAGAAGTGCTCCAGAGCCCTTTCTGTGTTTTTATCGCTTGGCCAGCATGGGGCAGGGGGAGATGGTCTCCAGCTGCTGCAAGGGCAGGTGGTGTTTGAGCAGCAGCAGTAAACGGTGGCTGGTTTTGGCTGGGCAGCATGGACTTGGATTGGTTTCTTGTCAGAAGATATTTAACACCTACAAACTTGAAACTGGCTGGGTTTTGTCTGATGTTTAATTCAACTAGTGGGTCCTGACAACTCCTTCCTCATGGGATGTTTTTGGCTGCTACCTCAGGTTGAGGGAGATGCTTTGAGAGCATGTGCTGGTGAACTTGCAACCTTTGCCATCCCAAAATCCGCAGTCTCAGCCCACCACATCATATGGAAAACAACCACACGGTTGAGGTTTCTCAAATGACTGTGAACCCTCAGGAAATGGCCATCACAACCCAGTTCACCATGCTCTTTGGCCTGGGGAAAGTCACTCAGCGTCTCTGCTGTGGATTTTCCTCTCAGATGGGACTAAAAAAAATAGAAGACTACTCTTTAATAACATGGCGTTTGGGTTCAAATACTGTCTTTTGTAATGCGTTAACTTTTCCTGTGGGAAGGGAAGGGAAACACCTCAGGCTTTCAGGCAGGAGAAGGCAGGGGCGACAGCTCGGTCCCACAGCCCTGTCCCTCACCACTGTCCCTCAGCCCCGTCCCTCGCCCC